GAAATTGTGATCCAATGATCGGCAAATCAAATTTTCTAATCATTATACCAATAGTTTATTAGCAATATACTTACCATCACATGGAATCCGTGCGCCAGTATTAACTTTAAGAATGTCTCCAACTGCGTTTTAAAAGAATAAAAATTAGATAGATATAATAAATAAATAAATAAATATGTGTGTGGTAAACGGGAATTTCTTAATAAATTATTATGTTAGGTAACTAAGAAATTCTGTACCCATTTACAACATATGTATAAATAATGGGTTAATTTATTTACCTTGAACAAGTTCTAAACTGATTTCATGTTCTTCAATAACTTCATGATTGTTCTTATCAAGAGTGATAGTTAAGAGTGTTGCACTCTCTGGTTGTAACTCCATCAACTTTGTAATAGTTTCGAAAGTTTTACCCTTTGCTCTTGCTTCCAACCATCTTCCAAGATAAATAAATGTAATAAGAAATACGCTAGTTTCAAAAAATTGTTGACCTGGCTCACTTCTCCTTTGTGCAATTGGTATTGATACATTAAGTAATGATCCGATATAAGCAACCGTTGTGCCAACAGCCACTAAAGTATCCATATTTGCTTGGTGAGAATACCAAATTGAACGAATTCCTTTTACGTAGAATGGATAACCGAGAATGAATTGAACAGGTGTAGCGAAAATAAATAGAATTAAAGTATTAACTTCTAAACCAGGGATAATTTGATAATCCAAAGCCATGTGAATTGGATTCGTTTCTGGTAACACCATCATGAAGATCATAGTTATGAAGAATGTTGGAATAGCAAAAATTAGAGAAATGAGAAATCTTTTCATCATCTTTCTCTGTTCTTTCTCGGCATTTTGACGAATAGAGTTACCATTTTTATTAGAAGGGCCTTTTGCATACAGTTGAGGTTCATAACCAATTTCTTCGATTTTGGTCATAAGATCACGTGAGCCGATCCGATTTGGGTCGTGCTTTATGGTAGCTTGAGTGGTAAGCAAATTAATATTTATGGATGCTACTCCGGGCACTAATTCAATAGCCGTTTGAATGGTTTTTATGCAGGAAGCACATGACATTCCACCTATTGTGAGTACAGTTATTGTTTCATTCCCCTGAACTGCGAAAGATGGTTTTTCTGTCGTATCTACAATACTCTTGGTTTTATTATTTGTACCATTATTTGTATCATTATTTGTGTTGACAGTTTTAACATAAGATTCTTCTGTAACTATGTCTTCTGTAACTACGTCTTCAATATGGTAGCCAAGATCTTGTATGACTTTTGTAATTTTTTCTATATCAATCAATGATTTATCAAATCCAAGAATGACGTTGTTTGTAGACAGAGATGCATGTATAGAAGGTACTATTACACCTTGAAGTCTTTGTAAAGCATTCTCAATAGACTGAACACAACTCATGCAGGATAACCCTGATAAAGATATATTTGCTTTAACGATTCTGGAGCCTGTTGTGGGAGGTTCTAAAATTTTTGGGTTCATTTTATTATAAAACAAATGAAAAATATAGATAAATAATGTGGGTGAAATAGTTCTCAATTTTCAGTTTTTAAAGAGTATGCTCAATTCATCCACATTATATACCTATATTTAGCTTTTCTGATGAAATATAGTATTATAATTGCCTCATCGATAGTACTTACATCACGGCGAATTATGAAATTGTTAAAATCCAGTCACCTGATATTCGGTCCCCAAACTATATATTACCTCTGATCTTGATTGACAACACATCTAACCCATCTTCACCACTTTTGACGTATCTTATTAGACATAGAAATTTTTTATAACGACGTACCCTCACTCGAGAATAGTAGTTATTTCAGTCAAAAATTGTTTATTAGTGGTCAAAATTTCAAATTTTGAGTATTTCATAAAATTTGCAGCAAAGAACGCACGATACAGCAATAGCTAATTATGTTCTAATTAATTCCGATTTTTTAATATATTGTTCTCGGTATAGTAATGATTACAAAAGTTGAGGTATTTACGCTGTAGTAATTATTAGAAATGAGGTATTTATGCTGTAGTAATTATTAGAAAATGAGGTATTTTTGCCGTTATTTTAAAAATATTGACTAATACTTGGCGTTCAGTCTATTCCGGTCGGACACATTACCAAAATGGGGATCATTTAAAGCCGTGTGCGTTAAATATATTTGATCTACATACAGCATAATTATTCTTGATAATCAACGGCTTTTAAACGATCTCCAAAAATGGGTAATTTATATGCCTCACATGACCTTTACTTTACAAATTTATTATTGGACCCTTTCAGCGGTTCAGTCTTTTTTTTTTAGTAGTGCGGTATTATAATTTATCATGAAAATTTAACTCGCGAGTTAATTAATAATGTATAATTACGTGCTATGTATGATGTTAAAATAATTAATAATAAAATTGGAAATTATATATACATAGTAAATACGTAATACAGTCAGACCTCTCTAAAGGCAATGCGGCGGGACCATATATAAAAATTTAGTCAAACATGCACTTAGAGAGGTATTGCATTTAGGGAGATAAAAGTCTATAGATGTAATATTAATTGGACCCAAGAGAAGGCGTGCATTTCGGGGGTAGCATTTATGGGGGTCTGACTGTATGTAATTTTAACGTAACTACTGAGCTACGTCTATATGTTATAAGTGGGAATGGAATTTAAGTGGATTTGGAATTTCCTAGTTAAATTAGGGTTAGGGTGTACATATGATAAATTCAGGGTCTTATATATAAGTTCCTAATCCATTTAAATCCACTTACAACATATTTATATAGTTCATTGATTTTAAGCAGGGTTGGCAATGGAGTTCAATGGAGCGCCCAATGGAACTGCGAATGGAACCAATGGAGCTCTGAATTGAGCCAATGGATACTAGTTTTTTGAGCTCCATTCGCATAACCATTGAGCTCCATTGGCTCCATTGCCATCCCTGCTTTTAAGACATTTCCATCTATACAAATATGACGCAAAATTAAAGCAATAATGAACAGGAGGAATCCTATGCAGATGAAATTAGTCAAAGTACTATTACAGCAAAAACAAAATCTTGATCCAGAATTGGTGGGCGAGGTGTTATTTTTAAAGCGAAACATGAATTTGCTTTATCATTATTTCAAGTTGACAAATAATTAATATGCTACTTGTTTTCATAACTTATAATCTGTGATAACATGTAATTTGAATTATATTTGCTTTGCGTAACTCTTGATTCGAAGTATATTTGCTTTTGTAACTCACAATTTACAAAACTTTTAATTACTCGAATGATTCGAGTACTCTTCGGAATTTAATTCGCGAGTTACGAATTAACACGAGTCCAGTAACTAGGTCCAATCTATTATTTGATTTACCGATTTTACACCCTAGCGTGCCGCAAAAAGAGGGGTACTTTGGTCAGTGCACTACGGTAACCGAATTTAGCATTGATTTCCATTTTTGGGATCGTCTAAAGCCAGGTAGTTTTTTTAAGTTGATTAATAATAAATTTGTAAAGTAAAAGTCATGTGAGGCATATAAATTACTACCTACGATCCCCATTATATGTTGTCGATCGTATGATGCCCTATCGCCATTACGCTCATTTTTCATATGATAATAATCATATTTCACAACGATATAAGTTATTCAATGCAACAGTGCGTGACAGCTTAAGATATCCAATTTTAATTCGTTTAAAAATGTTATCGTTATAATTTACTAAAAAATTATTGAATTAAAATCCTTCTTCCAAATTGCGCCTGATCCATATGAGGGCTTTTCAATAGAAAGGGGGAGATTTCTTCTAAGTAAAAGTTTTTTAAACTTTCAATTAAAATATCTCAACAACTATTAAACTAAATTTAATAATTTTTTTAAATTAAAAAAAATAAATTTTTATTAAATTTAATTTAGTAGTTATTAAGATATTTTAATTTAAAATTTAAAAAAAAGTTATTAAAAATTTTCCCCCCTTTTCTATTAAAAAGCGCCCATATATGGCATTTATTTCTATAATTAAACCACTATCTCGAATTTATTTTATTATGAGCGATTAGAATTTATTATGTTGCATCATATATAAAACTAAATTTAAATTGTGATGTGTCATGCTTCTAAATAACGATAAATAAAGTTAAATTTCAATATGCAATATACTTTTAAGTAACGGTAAATAAAGTTAAATTTAAAGTGCGATATGTCATACTACTAATTGACAGTTTCAATATTATGATTGGGATTTTTTTTGCCTATGCTCTTATCCTACACCCGGAACCCACCCGGAATTTTTTTTTTTTGCCTATTGTCTGGACTTAAAATCCTCCGCTCTGCTCCAGAAATTAGTTTTAAAATATGATTGATCACAGTATTAGCATATAATAAAAACTTTTTAAAATATTGGCTAAATGGTAAAGTGCCCTGTTCAAAATCTATGTTCGAATTACAGTATATCCCAAACTTAGGTTTCGAACTTGGCCCTGCACATACGAACTTACGTATGTATACTTTTGTATTGTACAATATGCGATAGTACTACAGTACTATTACATATAAAATCCCAAATTTTAAAAAAAAAGCAATAACTTTTTAAACCTTAGTTTTAAACTATAATTTCGAACTAGGTCCGGACTTTCAATCAAGTCCTTGAATAACTCGTTCTAGAACCTGGTCTCTAGTTACAGGTCAAGTCATCAAAGTTTCAGACAAATTATTTAGTAAATAAAGTGTAGAAATATAAAAAAAACAAATTTACTCGAAATATTAAAGTTTTCTGATTGATTTGATTGGTCAATGAGATCACATTTTGATCGACATAAAAATTATCCAATCAAGTGGATTCACGATTTGAATGTGTGTGACACTGCAAAAATTCGGTTGAGTTAGGGAGTTCGACAGGGCGGCCACCAAAAGTACGTGTCACATGTTCGAAATATGGCCATATCCACGTCTTAGTTCGTCTTAAGAAATTTTCACGACAATAACAGATAAAGTTGCACTTTTGGTGGCCGCTCTGGCGAACCCAGAGTTAGGCTTTACTGAACTGAAACTTTTTGAAAAATAGATTGTGGTACGTTGCACCTGATCTTGAAATTTGATTCGTAGTTCTGAAATTCTGTGTTACAAACATGGCACACGTTCAAGACGGTTTTCATTTTACGCGTAACTTTTTTATTTAGAAAATAAAACACGTTTGTTTTGACACCTGATTTTAAATTTTGATTGGTCAAAATTATCGGGGATGAACAATTGTTTGTGGGAACGCTACCTAAAATCACAGGGAAGGGTCGCGACTTGTTTTTGTTTTGTCATCATGCTGATCATCATACAATACGAGTTAGTTTTCGCTTTTCTGAGCAATGCTTTTTTTTTTAGTTGACACGACTGGATAGTAAGTATAATCATGTCAATTATATATAATAACTTATTTTTTTTGATTCTTTAAACTTTTGTTTCGTTTTACATGTGCATCTGGAGTAGCGATATCTGGAATGCGTTTTCAGATATCTAAAATAACATTAGTTAAAATTATTACTTAATATATAAAGATTCGATCTAGTTACTTCAGATAAGTTGGTACTCTAAATGCAACATAAGATTTCGTTCATTCACGATTCAAGAGATTTACCCGGCCCTTGATAGCGCAGTGTTATTTCTATCAAGAAATCAATAACGACTTAGTTGCTAAGTTGGTGATATAGACTAGTTTAGATTAATGATTGATTAGATTAATGATTTGTGATTAATGATTTGTGATTAATGATTGATGATTAATGATTGATGATTAATGATTGATGATTAATGATTGATGATTAATGATTAATAATTGATGATTAATAATTGATGATTAATGATTAATAATTGATAATTAATAATTGTGGCAGATTAAAATGAAATTCAGATTAAAATGAAATAATAATATAAAATCTCGAAAAATAATTTTTTTTGGTGTGTATTTTTTAGGGTTAGGGATAGAGGTGGGTTTCATGCGTGCGCATGATTGGGGATTCATGCGCATTAATGCGCATTCATGTGCATGATTCTGAATCATGCGCATTTTATTCCATCAAAGATTTTATATAAAAAAATTTTGTTATAATATAATTTATTATATATCCATTCAACTTTGAATCAAGAACATTATTATAACAAACACAATATTATTTTTTACTTAAAAATTAGTAGGTTTTTGATTCAAAGTTGCTTCTAAATATATTAGGGTTTACAATTTTACACATAAAATTTAGTATAAATTACAAGCAACTGTGTACAAAATCTTGCATATAATTATAGCAAAACTATAATTATATCAAAAGTGATTATAATAAAATCTAATTGAATATAATAATTTAATAATAATTTAAATAATAACTTAATTTATAATTAAAATAATACTCTAGAATATTCTGAAAATGAAAATGATGATTTAAAGAAAAAGTTTTGATACATCTATAGATGATATTTCTGAGAATGATGATTTTTTAGAAAATTATTTTGCACA